AGTCCCAAGATTAGGATCAAAATAGGCATATTTCTGGTGAAAAGATCAATAAGAAGACATAATTTTGCGTTTATTTTTAATGATGGGTGGAAACTAAGAACAGATGAATACAAGACTTATGATAAGTAAGGAAGCAGAGTGATGAAGATTAAGAATAGTGAAAAGCAAACATTAAGAATACACATAAACAAAAGAAGACAAAAGGGATACAAAATAAAACCTTGGATAGCCAGTGTCCCTTATCCTGGCTAAGGGAAAACTGACATATTTTTAAAAGGCCAACGATCAAGAATTTAGTATTAATCATTGCAAACTCAAAAAGACAAGTAATTAGGCCACTTAGTCCATGACTTTAAATGCATGACATAATCAATTACAATCATTCTCTCGCATTAATTGAAACTACATTTAAACTATAGAAAGTTACATATAACTTTTCATCAAACCTTAAGTGAACAACTGAACATTATAAATAACTTATAAGATGAGCCATACCTTCCGCTCTAGAGTTGCAACCTTGTGATGATATTCTTCACACAAAGACTCAACTTTTAGCTAATTGGATTTTTTCTATTCCACTAGCAACGATAATAGAGGAAGTGGAAAATAGAAGATAAGTAGAAAATGATAAAATTTATGAGAACAAGAATGGATTTCTCTAATAATTCAAACATAACAACATAATGTCCAGTTATCCATAGACAAAAATAGCCTTTGAAAAGGCCATAGATCCATCATTCACAAACATTAAACATTGTCATCAAGCTATCAATGCATCAACCATCACCAAATTTAGTTTTTAAAAGTCACAACTCAATTAATCTAATAATTCAAACATAAAGTTAATCCTAAAAAAAATCCATCATAAAGTGGACAAATTTTGAGTTACTAATGCCCATTTGGCCATTCATCCTTCAAGGTTGAACCATAAATAACCTGAAATTAAAAAATAAGAAGAATTAAATAACATGACTTTTTATAACAGAGAAAATAAATTAACAAAATTACCATATTGAGCATTCAAGCAACATTATTTATCTCTCTTTCACCCTTCCACAACCGTAGTATCATATTGTCCTCCCTCAATGACAGTAGCTACTTCTAAAAGAAAAAAAAATCAAACAAAAAAATATGTCCACCATTGTATAATAGCTGAAATCAATATTTACAGCATAAAAAATACAAGAAAAAAATTAAATTAAATTGAAAATATTACCAGATTGAACAACATGATTTATCCCTCCAAAGTTATCAAATTCACGCAATTTACTAACAAGTTCTGTGAGAGATGTTTTAGGGAAGAGCTAATTTTGAGCATAAATAAGTGCTTCAATCATTCGAGGAGATAGTGAACTCCTATATTAAATATTAATCAACTACTCGCCCTTTGGTGCTAAAAGTATATTCATATGTGACTATTGACACTAGACTAGCCAGCATGTCTTTAGACATAAGAGAAAGGGTTTTATATGTAGATGCATTTGCCTTTCACCATGACAAGATATCAAAAGCTGCACCAGAATTACAAATAATTTTAAGATTAGCTCCAAGATATTTGTCCAACTCTATTTAATCATCATTGGAACTCTTCTACTTTTATGACTCCAACTGTAGAACACCAGGGTCATTATCATCATCGAAAGAGTTATCCTTTAATGAAGTGACCCTTAATAGTGTAAACGAAGATTGGGCACTTGATTCCAAACTTACTTTAGCTAAATACTCATTATATAAAATGTATAAACAATCTTTCATACTCATTTTCATAGCTGTACATACATCTAAGTCAATGTAAAGCTGTTCGAAGACATAATTCACATAAGCCAATTTCACAATTACAGTAATCATCAATAAAGCCAATTTTATATGCTAAGGCTCACGTCACCAAAAAGAGGATCAGCATTTAATATATATTTTTACAACAAGTTCTGCATACATGCAATTTGATGAAAGTATGTGTTAGATGTCACATTCAGTGTGGAAGAGAACATCAATGTTGTATCATAAAAAACCTTCAAAAACTTGAGAAAGATATAGGCTCTACTCCAATTCCTTTCTTTAAGATACTCATGCCTACACAAATGCCTGAATGGGTCACACCTAAAGATACACTTATCTCCTCATTGATTTTAAAGGGAGTACAATATTCATCATCTTTATCATACATTCTTTCAAACTTTAAAGTAAATTCAAGCATCAAATAAGTGGAATTCCATTGTGTGTAAACATCCAAGCATATAAGGCTTTTAGTGTCCAATTTCTCTCTATTAACTCAAGTTTTTAAATTTAAGAAACCTAAAAGGAGAGGAATGAACATACCTCACAGCATTTTCAATACAATCAAAGCTTTCTTTTAACTCCTTCAAGCCTTTATTCACCATCAAATTGAGCACATAAGCACAGCATCTTAGTTGTAAGTAGTTACCATCACATACTAACCCAATCTAACAAACACTTAATTGTCTTCCTTAGTTATGGTGAATACCTTGTCAATCACCTAATCTAACAAACACTTAGTTGTCTTCCTTATTGTTTCACCTATGTGATTTTCAATCATGTATACATTCAAAATTCTCTTATGAAGTTACCACTCTGGGTCAAAAAAATGTATAGCCATACACATATAGTTAAAGTTTTGATTTTATGTCTAGTCATCAGTAGTGATACAAACATGATGAGCACACTTCTTTAGGGTCTTCTTTAATAGCTTCATTTCTCCAAGATATAATTGCCAGCAATCCCTTGTCATGGTTGTTCTTGTAGGAATTAGAAATTTGATTTCTAATTCATGCATCAATTTTCTAAATCCTTCCTTCTCAACAATCCTAAAAGGTTGCTTATCTGTAATTATAAATTTAGCAAGTTCTCTTCGACATCTCTTTTCATTATAAATATGAGGAATCAAGCCTCTTCCTTGTCCTTGCAAGTTTGCCCTTCTTTGTGACACATATTTCAACATTGATTGCTTATCATTTATTGTAGCTTTGTGTGGGTTCTTGGGACATTTAGGAATATTCCTTTTCAAGGAGTTTGTCCCATGCTTAATTAGATCACAGGTGGTGTGGCAATATTTGCAAGCTATTCTATACTCCCCATTTGTCTCTTCTAATGGCAATCTAAAAAAGAATTCCCAAACTTATGATAATTTTGATATCCTCTTTTCAGGTTCATATTTTAAAGGTTCTTTCCTCTTTTAACCCTACATTCTGCTTCCTAAGGGGCTTTTATAGTAGTGGTAATAGGAGTTAGAGGAGGTAATGAAGAAGAAGGTACTAGAGGATGTGCAACTGAACTAGGATTAATCCTACTTTGATCTTGGGGAAAGGGTGCAATCATAAGTGTGAATGGAGTAGGGTTAGCATTAAGACTTATGGGAGTTGTTTCATCAAGACTTTCGCGAGCTTTATGTGGAGAAGGAGTAGAAGCATAATTTTTTCTTCCATTTTCTAGCCTAAGAGATAATTTCATTAGCAAACAGCCATAAATAAACATTAAAAAACCAGTAGAAAAGTGCAATGCAAACCACTTTAATGTCAAACAATCAAGTAGAAAAATGCAAATAATTTCAAATTTAACTAAAACAAAACAAAAACAGAGATCTAATAAAGAAAAGAAACAAACTAGTAGTAATGTTACTTAAGCTTTGAATAAAGAGAGTGAAAGAGAAGAAGAGATATGGAGCCAGGAGACTACTTGCCTAAGCTTTGAGGAGACGAGCTGATGAACTCAAGCAAGATCGGAGGAATCTCTAAACTTTAAAGCTGCTCACATGAGGCGGAGGAAGCTTTGAACTCTGAAGCTGCTAACACGAGACAAAGGAAGCTCGAAAAGATTAGGGACATAGAGCTGTGCTAGAGATGCAATTAAGGCCCTGTTTAGTTCAAAGGGAGAGGTGGGGAAGGGAAGGGAAGGGAAGGGAGGGGAAGGGAGGTGAGGGGAGAGGAGGGGAAGGGAGGAGGGTATCGCCCTAAATTAAAGGGGGAAGTTTTGGTGGGGAGGGGAGGGGAGGGGAGGGAGGGGAAATTTTAAAAAACCTCCCCTCTCCTCTCCACCAAACACTACCTAAGAGAGAGAGATAGAGAGCATTATAGGAGAGGTGTGTGGCTGTGTGAAGGTAGTAGATTGAAAATGTGAAATGACTATTAGATGTGAGTTAGGGCTTTTAAGGTTTTAATATTTTAATTTTTCATTTATGCCCCCACCAATCTAATAAATTACGTCCTATATTGATATGTTTATAAAAAAAGTAATTATTTTTTATGTTTATCTAATTGAGCCAGATTTGAATATTGTTAGGTTTGATTAGAAGTAAATTAGTAACTCTCTTAAGTATATTTTCTGCATTTACATACACTGAAACATGAGACTTCATATTTAAGCGCTCATAGTCCCCTTTTACTAGGATGGAGTAATTAGTTTCTATTGCACAATCATTAAGATGTGCAAATGTGTAGTATTAAACTCTCTCTATTTCTATTTATAAGAGAAAAAACTGTATCACATAATTTAAGAAAATCGATTAACTATATTAATCAAGTTTGAAAATAAAATAATTAGATTATAATATCCTTTATTAATTGTGTTAATCAATCCTTCATTGATTGTTTCTCATGACTATAAATGATAAAATTATAAGGGGTAATTTAAAAAGTTTGTAATAAATACTTATTGAAAAATGTGACTTTACTTATATAAAAAAAGTTAAAAGTAATAATTTCTCTTATAAATAAAAATAGAGAGAGTATATCCTTATAATTATGTCTTAATAATAAAATTTTTATTTTATTTTCTCTCATTCAAAAGCCAAATCATCATTATGGTTAAAAAAAAAAAATCAAATGCATGAAACGTAGTTATGTTTTTTTTTTTTGGGCCTAGGCCCAGTTTTGCGTAAAAAGAAGAAAACGGATAGGAAACATAGATAAGCTATCCTATTTCTCTAGCTGTATCAAAAAAACAAAAAATCTATTCAGCGAGTATTTATTTACTTATCTCGATTTTCTCTCTTGGGGCGTTGTTTTCTTCTCCTTGAGGGTTCGAACCAGGGGCCGGTGTCGCCGTCTCGTTCTACTCTTCTAATTTTTAAGCGGCTAACTACTGAGCAATCCAGAACCGGAACATTTTCTCTCTCGTAGTAACTCATGGCAGCTGCGGCTACAACGTCGGTGGTGCCGGCTAACCGCCGGCGGATTATGAATCCGCAGGAGGATATGGAGTTCGAGACCACCGAAGGAATAGAGCCTATCTCGAGCTTCGAGAACATGGGTATCAAGGAGGATCTGCTCCGAGGCATCTATGCATATGGCTTCGAGAAGCCCTCGGCAATCCAGCAGCGAGCCGTTAGACCTATTATTGAAGGGCGAGATGTTATCGCTCAGGCCCAATCTGGTACTGGCAAGACGTCTATGATTGCTCTCACCGTTTGCCAAGTCGTCGATACTTCTATTAGAGAGTATGTCCTTGAAAGCCCTTACATTTTTGGTTGCGAATTTCCTTTTCCCTTTTATGCCTCTGCGGAAAATTAGGGATTGGTTAATAGCAATTGAATTTTTCGGATTTTTTGTTTCATGTTTCTTGGGGGAAAACGTTACCTTTACTGGAAATTTGAGGTATTGGCTATGGGGCGCTCGAGGAATAACTCATTCCTCTTGACAATTGACTATTGCATCCTTGGGGTTCTGGTCGGAGTTTTCTTTGTGTGGACAATGAGGATTTAATGAGTATTGAAATTGAATGACCTCAGCATAAGGAAAACAAAAAATTATGCTGAAGGGGAATCCCTTTTTATTGAACACAATCTAGTCAGGGTAAGGGGGCAACGATTAGTCTATTCGGTGAAGAGTTTGCTTGTCTATTTTATCAGTTTTAGATGGGAAAGTCCTATATTTGATTGTAATTTGACTAATTTCCTATGCTAGGCTTTAGGATTTCAGATATAAGAAAAGACCTGCAAAATAAGTTTGAGTTTTCAACGTAGTTTTTGGTACGGAAAATTCTAGGATTAAAGGGAAAACTCAGCTCTGAACTTCACTTTTGGTCCATGTTAGGTCTGGAATCTTATTAAGAAGATTTAAGACTGCCGTCACTGTGGATATATAATGAAGTTTCGTGGAAAACCTGCATCTCTGATGGTCAAGCAAAGATCAATTCTTGTTTTTCTAGAGTGAATTACATCTACTCCTCTTTCATGTCGAGCAACATGATAGATATATCCATGCTTATATTCAGGAATCACAAGAATTTCCTTCCCTAGGCTAATTATAGGTTACAAAAAGTTTATATGTGAAAGAGCAATATGGTCCGCTTGTTTTCAACCTGACTTGTACTGGACCTCTCTTTATGTTGCAACTTTGCTAACTCAAGGTATTTTCATTCTTAGCAAAGAAAATCGTAATTTGAATGCCTCATGTTGGTTTAATGCATAAGAATGTGTAAATGAAGATGAATTGAGGGGATTGCAGTGAATGAAGATGTGGAACAGTAGGTCATGGATAGCACTTCTCATGTATTGTAATAATGAGACAGGTGATCGTGATCGAATTTTCATTTGTCGTAGTGGGGATGGTATAAGCTTGTTTTACTCGATGTAAGGGGACTAAAATAAAGTTCCTTCACAATATTGAAGTTGATGTTAGCTTTCTTTTAGGAAATGCAAAACGAGCTCAATGGAAGAGCACTTCTGTAATATAAAAAATAAAACAAACCTTTATAATTTTAATACGATGAATAACTTTCTTCTTGTTTTTCTTAAACTTTGGGATGTGTGTGTAATTAACTAATTTCTTGGTCCTTGTTATTCAAGTAGTGTGTTTTTGGAGCAAGAGATGGAATAGAGAGCATGCCCACATAGTAGCTTTTGCAAACGATTAGATGGATTTCTACTATTTATCTTGCATTTTTTAATGGCCCCCTCAGCGTATCACCATGTGTTCTATTCTGTGTCAAGTTAAAGTTCTGTCCTTCACTGTCAAAACATGTAAGTTTACAGCTCAGTTGACTTCATTAAGGTTGTCATTTCGTAAATGGTGGTTCAGTCAATGTGTTCTTATTGTAATTGTTGATGCCTTTAAGAGTTGATTTGTATTCTATTTTTGTCATCTTCTGGTAAACATGTATTATCATCTTATGATCTCCATCCTAATAATTCTGTTACAGAGTCCAGGTGTTGATCGTGTCACCAACAAGAGAATTGGCCTCCCAGACTGAAAAGGTTATCTTGGCTATTGGAGATTACATAAATATACAAGCTCATGCATGCATTGGAGGTAAAAGTGTAGGTGAAGACATACGGAAGCTTGAGTATGGGGTTCATGTGGTTTCTGGAACTCCTGGACGAGTTTGTGACATGATAAAAAGGAGAACATTGCGAACTAGAGCCATCAAATTGTTAGTCCTTGTAAGTTCAATGCGTCTTCCAGCTATCCACTGCATTTTGTTGGGCCTCTTTATATTGCCAAGTGTTAACATCATTTCAATAACAGGACGAATCTGATGAAATGTTGAGCAGAGGGTTCAAGGATCAGATCTATGATGTGTATAGATATCTCCCTCCGGAGCTTCAGGTTTTCTTTCTCCTTTATTGTCTTTCCTGCCCTTTTGTTTTTGGAATGTTTCTATCTCAGAAATCTTTTGGAATTTATTCTACCTCAAAAATCTTTTTTATGTTTAGTAACACAGTTTTAACGAACTGTCTGGTGATTATGATATTTAGCTAATTGTATGCATCTTTTCGGAACTTAGTTACATAAATAGTGTGTGTATTGCTTTCGTATTCAGGCTGTTGGTGGAATATAGAGTGTTAGCCATTGTACGATCATTGACTTTTCAAATTCTGAGTTGTGATATTTTGGCGTATGTCAGCATCTGAATCATTATGCTCTTACTGTAGGTTGTCTTGATTTCTGCCACCCTTCCTCATGAAATATTGGAGATGACAAATAAGTTCATGACAGATCCTGTAAGGATCCTCGTAAAACGTGATGAATTGACTTTGGAGGTAAGCAATAGTTTTACATTATCTTAGTTCCTTCAAGAGCCTGCTGGATCTTGATGCAAATTTTCCCTTATGACAGGGCATCAAGCAATTTTTTGTGGCTGTTGAAAGGGAAGATTGGAAGTTTGATACTTTATGTGATCTTTATGATACCCTCACCATCACACAAGCTGTTATTTTTTGCAACACCAAGCGGAAGGTAAGCAGAAACTTTCCATGCATCATTGGCTAAGCCCTCCCATTCAGTCTCCAAAATTGTGGGGAATTGTTGATTCATGATACTATGTTTTAAATATTGTTCAATAGCTTTTCATCTTTCCTTGTCTGTTTTCCTTCTTTTGGAATAGGTTGACTGGTTGACTGAGAAAATGCGTAACAACAATTTCACTGTCTCATCAATGCATGGGGACATGCCTCAGAAAGAAAGAGATGCGATCATGGGAGAGTTTCGTGCTGGTACAACTCGTGTACTTATCACAACAGATGTTTGGGCTCGTGGTCTTGATGTGCAGCAGGCGAGTGTTTAGACCTTTGTTTCCGTTTTCATTTATTATGTTTTATGGCTTTCATTTCTTTTAGAACTCAATTGTTGAAATACTGATGAATATCTATATTCTGTATCAGGTCTCTCTAGTGATAAACTATGACCTTCCAAATAATCGAGAGCTTTATATTCATCGTATTGGTCGATCTGGGCGCTTTGGACGCAAGGTACTTGATGCAATACCTATTGCAATGTTCATTGACTGCTTGGGGCTACCCAACTTTTCTTGTCTTCTTTTTGTTGTTGTTGTTGTTGGGGGGGGTGGGGAATCCTGGTTTAATGTTCTTTCCCATTGTTGTATTCCCAGTTCCCAGCTGCTTTCTACTCTAAAACATCTTTATGATTGGCCCTGTCATGGTTTGCAGGGTGTTGCTATTAACTTCGTCAAGAGCGATGACATCAAGATCCTGAGAGATATTGAGCAATATTACAGTACACAGATTGATGAAATGCCAATGAATGTTGCTGATCTCATATAAATTGCTTTTGGTGTGCGTTGTGCTGGGTGAAGTGGATTTGTCATGCCTTACTTAGGGAGTAGTGTTTTAATGTGGGTATCTTAAATTGGGTGAGTTTATTTTGTTTATGCGCTGACATCAGTATTTTTGTTTATGTGCTTCTAAACTTACCAGTTGATGAGTTTATTCCCCCTATACATGGATATACCAGAGTGGCAGCTGCTTTTGTTCATTTGGCTGTGATTGATGTATAAATTTAGATTGTGGGACAAGTTGCATTCTCTGGCTATGTTGCCCATGACAGTTGAATGTAATTTAAGCTTTATGACAGGTGCTGATGATATTTTTTTCACGTGTCTCATAACCCGTATTTATTGCATGGAACACATTAATCTGAATCCTGCGAGGGAAAAAGATTTATCTGCCATTTCCATGTCTCACGTGCATTTCCAATTTGCTCATTGCCAGGTAATAATCTTTGGAACGTTAAGCTTAGTTGTTTTAGACCTCCATAAGTTATTAGGTCGCAACTCGCAAGAGTTAGTTCTGACTTTCTGAGTAATAACAAGCGAAACGGTCACAACTCACGTCAGTTCTGTTGTCAAGTGACGGAGGGGCGCAGGACTAACAAGCAAGAACTGGTTTCTATTTTGCGTGAAGATGGCCGAGAATGATTCCTGTGAATACTATTAGAACTTAGATGTTTTTTTTTTATTTACTACTTCGAGAGTTTCTTTACGTTTAGCGAGCTAACACCGTTAGAGAAAGGGTTAGTAACTAAATGAATGATGTAAAAAGTAAAATCCACGAGTCAACTTTTGATTGGGGAGAACCTGATTTAAAGCATACGGGGAACAGAATAAAGTTTTCTCCTTGTTAAATTTGCTCACAAAATATATGTTATCAAGATGACGAGACAATCATATATTTCTCAGCCAATCAAGCAGATTGTGGCAGAGATATATATTGATATTTGATACAAGCGAATGGCAATTAGCATGCACAAATTTGTCTCATTATATGTACTACACCAAGAACTCGTACAAACTCGCAACAAGGCCGCAAAAATTAGGAGCGTAGACTAGAACTAGAATGTAATCTCGGAAGGTGCATGAAATGTTCTTCCTCGACAGATTGGTTCTAGATTTTCACCAGCATATGAACATAACGGCGAGACTTCAACACCTGAATAAGAGGCAGCTACGTTACACAATGACCAAGTTGAACGAGATAACCTTTTCTTAGTAAGGAAAATGCTAATGCTAATTTTCTTCGTTGCCCAACAACCGCTTGTGCTTGTAGTGTTCAAAGTAGAATCAACTTTATTTTCAACAACTTATTTATCCTTCCCAAGAATGTTCCTCTTCTTCAAAAAGTCTAAATTTTATTTCACTTGATTCAGCTTATTGGACAAAATCAAGCTATTCCATTTCTTTTGTGGTACTTGCAAAGGTGAGTACCAAAAACTAGAACTTAAAACTAACCCAAGATTTTATTGCCTTCCTCGGGGCCTATATGAAAAGAGGTATAACATACCAGTTGCATATAACGGCACTGAATGTGTTAAGAAGCCACCTGCAGCAACCACCCAACGACTATGGAGTCGAAGAACAAGAAGTCTAGCACTATCTGGAGTGTCAAAATTGGATCCATTTGCATTTTTCACAGGCGCAAATTCTTCTTCCCGAAGTACCTGTACATGGATGCACAATAGCCATCAGCAATAGTAGTACTACCCTTTAGGCACCCAACTTCCGGTCAAATGAAGAGAATTATAAATACCTCAAAAAGTGCAGTCGTCGGAGCATAAGGAAATGCATCAAATACGAACTGTTCCAGTTTTAATCCCATTGTAAATCCATGTATGGAAGGGATTTTCTTCTCTGCAAGATGGTAACTGCACATATAATCCATGTGCGGATCAGATCGATAAAACATCTGAAAGATATAGGCCAAGTGTATGAATTACTATGGATGATATGCAGCATTGGCTTTTTATTACTTTACCCATATTTTATTTTCAAGTTGTCAAGTTACATACACACCTATGAATTTCTTTTTTAAACTTGAACTTCATTATATAACATTAAGAATAACAAATTCAGTGCATCACAAGGAAATAAATGTAACACTTGGAATTTAAATAACAATGAGAAGCTAGTCAGGAAAATGAACGGGAGAAGGCAATTTACTTACATGCTGTCTTTCTCAAGGCCATTAGCGACTTGGTTCAGAAAATCCAGAGTGAACATGTGTAAGCACACCTGAAATTACAAGGATGATGATAAACAAGGAAGACAATTTATAAAGCAGCCAACACAAATTACATTCAATTTTCAGAAAGAAGTCTAAACACAAGCATTGTCTGCATGTGCTTGTACATATCGCCAATCAATTTCTGCATATACTAACAATTAAAATGTAAAAGTCCTATGTGCCATCCTAGAACAAAGTAAAAGCACTGGTGGAACCTGAATAATACTTGTATTATTGGGAATTTAACACTTCTTCACTATAAAGTGAGAAAAGGACATAGAAAACTATCCCCTGTTCCAGCCAAATTATCCCAGAAAATGAGGAACAGCAAGCCCAGCAAACACAAATAAAACACACGCTTACTGACCTTTGAGAGTTCGGAACTCTCCTTCACTAGCTAACCAAAATGTTGCCAGCCTGCCTCATCCTGACACTCTTCCCTCCATAAAAGCTTAAACTCCTGCTCCACTCATTTTCATTATAATAAAACTTCTATGCTTTCTAACAGCTTAAGATTTCTAGCCATCGGTATAAGAGCACCAGCTCCATTTTTTTTTTTTTGGCCAAAAAGCACCAACTCCAGTTTGAGTCACATTTTGTCACTGTCAAAAATTAGTAGTCCCACTGAATTAAGCAGCGCCAGGACTTATCATTAATCTAGTTGATAACCTGTCTTTCCGTTCTAAAAGACGATCATAAAAACTTAAAAGAACCAATAATCCGTAGGGATCAGAAAGGGCCTCAAAAAAAAAAAGCACGATTTGTGGAAAAAAAGGTTCAAGACCATGAAACTAGCTAGAGTGGCAAAAGACTCACATTACTCCAACAAAAACGAAGACGGCCAGTTTCTTGATTGACTGCAGAAGCTAGAGATGGATCCAACTCACTGTATTCAACTACAGTAAGAGGTCCACCTTTCCCTCGACGTACAAATACACCAACCTTTTCTTGGGGATATGCCTGTTATATGACGACAGAAATAGAAATAGTAAGCAAAAAAGAAAAGAAGCACGAGGGTAACTTAGTTATATATCAAAAAAGAGATCACTGCCTACCGCAATTTCCATGACAGGCAAAGCCTAAAATTTGGTCTAAGAAAAATAAACACAACCAAACATGTTGGATTTTTATAGACGCGTGTATTTTATATATTATCTATGTCCTACTGTTTTTCTATGAGAGCACGTATTAATAACACCTCATTTCTTCCAATCCCTAGGACTTTGTGGCATCATAAATTCATGCTTTTGTATATGGACGATGATTAAATAAAAGCAACAAGGATGACTGGATACTGGTCAGTTACCTTGCGGACAACTTTGGCTGCAGCAGCTACACCTTTATCAATGAAGTAACCCAGGAAAGCGGGATCAGCAACTCGGACCTGTTTCATGAGTCCTAATAATTAAGTCTTCAAATAAAAGGGAGTGACGGATGACTGATTCTGTTAACATGACTAATTCAAGTTCAAAACAGAAAACAAGGAAAACTCACCAGGGCATTATCAACACCATAGCAATCAACATACTTAATTCCTCTTGAGGCCATGTCTTCCAATAACCTTGAATATTTCAGAGCTGAACAAGAAAAGAATTTGCCATTTTAATAAATACTCATGCAACAAGTGAAAAATAAGAAAAGTACAGTCAATGTTAACATTTGAAATTCAAAGAATATATAAAAAGCTTCAATAAACTACAATACCTGAATATACTCCACCATTCCCATCAGGAGCCTCTGCTACCTGGCTTTAGGAGTTTGAAATATTAACCACCAGCATAGCAGAATAGTTTCAAACCAAGAAAGGAAATTTCAGAGAAAAGAAAGTAAAAGCATTGCAAGGAGAAGGCTCGTTAAATGAAAGAGACCATACTCTGCATGGAGTTTCCATTATAAATCTACCGTTCTTGGAAACACAAGGGATGGTCCCTTGCTGGAAGAAGGTAACCTATATGAAAGAGGTGAATCTAAAGTAAGCAACCTCACCCAATGAAAAACAGGTAGTAATAGCACAAGGAAAAGGTTCCGAGGCTTCTTACTTGTTCTGGGTCAAGACCAAAAAATTTATGACTTCCAAAGAATTTCCGTGTTGCATCATCAGTGAATGGACTAGTCATAATGTACCAGTGTATTTGCACTGAAGAAGCAGAACCTACACCAGGTAGATCGGCCAGGATGACAAATGGAATGGCGTATGAATAAACTTAACCAAGACAAAAGGAACCCACTCTCATTTGTAGCTTGAGCAGCCAGTCTCTGTACACACAAAATTCGCTCCGCTTGCAGTTGGAAAAGTGACTTTCCCGATGGAAGTCCAATATCTAAAAAGAAAATTAAGAACACAAGGAACCGATAATTTTTTATGATTTATTCTGAAAGAACATTCAAGCAACAAAAGAACCATTATCTCATAGATAATAAATAACTAAATACATAAACAAAGGAAGACCTCTAAACATTGCACATAAATGAAAACTATGCTCCAGTTACTTTAATCTGCATGTCAAGCAGAAAACCTGTCCACATGCTTGATATTGTAGTTAATATTCATATTTTTTTGTAGGAAAGAAGAAAAATGTAATTTGTCATTGCATTGGCCAAAATTCCTTTTCTTATATACATTATTAAATGAAAATAGTTTTATCTAGTATTGGGTGTAGCCCTATTACATAAAAGGGAGAATCACATTCAGCCCTCTTCTAAGAAAATTTATCACAGGCAAAGACTAACAATAAGTCCCATTCAAAAAAAAAAAAAAAGTCATGTTCTCATTTTAACAACAATCCATTCTATATTGGTCCTTATCTGTAATTAATTCTCTTGGAAGGGGGCTGGCTATGATTTTCCCTATATAAAATGCCAAAGCTTTCCTTTAATTCAACTTCAGGACTGGAAATTCGATCTTTTCAAATAATAGAAACTCAATGCTTATTTCATCACTAAAACTTCAGTGCTAAAACTCAATGCTTATTTCATCACTAAAACTTCAGTGCTAAAATTTTCACTTTCATCAAATACACCCCAAGTGTTTCAGTTGTCTTCCAAAAAGGTTTGAATATTTCAAAAAGCTTATTCCTCTGCAAGAAGCATCTATGA